ATAAGAAGTTTACATGCAAATTTTGGTGTTGGTTAAAGGTGGTTATGACATGTGTAGGAGATACCTAACACACCAACCCTCTTGAGTTTTCCCATTACCCTAATGCTAATACGGACCGATAGTACCTTACTTTGTGACCCTATATCATAACAAATACTTTTGTATCATTAACCAATCAACATTTATCATTAAATTGGAACATTAGCCTACTGACTCATGCAGTTTTTAAGGGAAAAAATACTATTTGAAAATTTGAAGTCATTGTAGGCCGCAAAACGGCCTTATAGAGAATGATCCTTTACAACAAGATGCATGTGACCAAAACAGCAAGGGTCTCAGAAGAGCAAAGAATTGCAAGAGCAAAAGAAAGATTTATATGTCATTTTCTTCGATAGTTAGTGGTCTTATTGTTCAGATTCTTATTTGGGGAGGCCGATTAATTTCTGTTCGAGTCTAGAAAGCAAAATTATTGCTAAAAAATCAAGTTTTATGAAAAGAAGGAACCAGAATCAGGAATCTACAACATTAATTTTCTTCATGACAAAGTCCAAAACCACACGTCCTGAACAGCAAAGAAGTTCTGGGGATAAACAAAAAGTTAATGTTTTGTCACACCAACAATATTCGCCAGAAGTTTCACCCTACGATTGTTCCATTTTCCAAACTTGAAAAAACACCTTTCAGAAAGAAGAAAGAAGTCCAGGTAATCATAGGATCTGTCATATTCCAGTATACGAAGTGCTTACTCAAAAATGTGATCTAAAATCAAAACAATTAGGAATTGGATAAATATGTTACAGACATGTGGTTCAATTAAAGGAGCATATTTAAGGAAATCATTAAGACAAAATCATTAAAATGCGTTTTTATTATATTCATTGTAGCTTAATAGTGAAAATGACATCATTGATTAACAAAAGAAAAGAAACAATTTCCAAATTCATGTACGAGAAAAAACTAAGAGGTCATTACAGTTATATATTCTCGTTGGATATTTATACAAAAACAATCACGCAAAAATATACCTTTTGTTTCCAGAATGTACGATTTAGTTCTGTATCACGACATACCTTACCTCGCTCTGACTTTGACCGGATTTGATATAGCAAAACTACATATTTATATAATAAACATTTACTAGGCAGTTCGTATGTGTGCGCGCGTGTGTGTGACGTCACTTTCTTGTTAAAAATAAGGTTAAAGAACAGAGGAGTGGATCAACAAATTTCATAATTTGTGAATGTTGATATTCATATAAAATCTTGAAAATTATTTTTCCATTATAAGTTTTTGCACGGCTTATGAAAATAGTATTATAAAATAAATGATCTTCTTAATTTTAGCCTTGCGGTTTCCAACCTAGTACCCTTACCGTGGGTAATACTTCTGGGAAAATACATAACAGAAGTTAACATATGGAGAAATAGTGTTCATTCTGCTCAATTCAAATTGGTCATTTTGAAGTGATAGTGGCGGCATGTTCCATGAACTTTTATATGAAGAAAATTCAAATCACAAATTCTTATAGACTACTCATTTCGGATAAAGTTCTTTCGCCGATGGTTTGATTTTCCTTAAATATTACATGTATCTTCTACAGGAAATGAAAAGATTGTTAATACAAAATTGAAAGTTGCTACCGCTTTTTTTATTTGAAAATTCGAAGCGTGAAATTATTTTTTTTACTTGAAGAATACTACACAAAATTCGTGTTTTTATCATTTTTGACGATAAAGTGTAAGTGTTTATTGCAATTTAATAGTCCTTCCACCGATTATAGATGCATAAGAGCGCCTAGTATTTTTCAACAAAAAAAAAAAAAATACAGATAATTTATCATTTTATGAAAAGATACGACCGCCTTTTTAATTTGAAAACGGTAATTTCTCTGCATCAGTGTGACCTACTTATTATTAAAAAAAACAGTATCATGAGTTTTCAACTCCTTATCGCATATACTTATACACAAATAACTAATTGTATAATAGAGGTTTGAGGAAAAAAGTATATGAATAGGAATTGCAGGTTTTAATATCAAAGTTCAAAGAAATGAACTTTTGAGTTTATGTAGGAACTTATGAAAATAAATGAGAAGTAAATAACGTGGAAGCAATCTTATTCATGAACTGCAGACCATTTCTCCATATGAATAATATCCCTGCAACATATTGGACTATAAAATGACAAATAAAATGTCATACATGAATTGTATATTTTATTTTATCATCTGGTATTTTACCATGATCAGTACTCGACGAAATTCATAAATCTATTGTGTTAGTTATAAAAGCGAAGCGTCAAGGTTGATCTGATGATCCGCGCCTGCATGTCAACGAGACGTGACACGACTTTTCGGATCTAGTTACTGTTATAATGATAAATTTATTATATACCCCTCTACAACTAAGCAAAATTTAATAAAAGGAAACTTTTTGGATGAATTACATAACTTTTATACATTAAACAAACCATTTTTCAAGGAACTTTCTGATAAACGAGAATAAAAACGTCATTTATCGGTGTACTACGTCATCAGTTTCAGAGAGGGGTGATATGGATTCAAAAAACCATAGTGTGGTGATCCGGAACGTCGGATCACACCGTCACGCGATTTCGTGAAATCAACAGTAAAATTGAGTGACAAACAGTTTGTTATATAATAAATATACATTATTATAACAGTAACTTGATCCGAAGAGTCGTATCACGTCGAGTTGACAGGCGCGGATCATCAGATCAAACGAGACGCGAAGCGTCGAGTTTGATCTGATGATCCGCGCCTGTCAACGAGACGTGATACGGCTCTTCGGATCAAGTTACTGTTATAATGATAATTTTATTATATACCCCCTTTACAACTAACAAATATAGTTTAAAAAAAAACTTGTTAGATGAATTATATAAGATTTTTCCATTAACAAAGCATTTTGTCACGGACTTTTTTGATGCACATGAAAAATAACGTCATGTTTCTGTGTACTACGTCATCAATTTCAGAGAAAGTGATATGGATTCAGAAAACCACAGTGTGGTGATCCAGAAAGTCGGATCACACCGTCACGTAATTGTACGAAATCTACAGTAGAATTGAGTGATACACACTTGGGTATATAATAAATCGATTTGTCAGATCTTTATGTTGACTTCAGATATTTATGTCGACCTGTCAGAAAAATATGTTCACTTGTCAACTGATGGCATAAACTGGGCATGGACACATTTTCATGTTGAATTTTAAAACACGTAAATAATTGACAAGTCAACAAAAGGATCTGACAAGTCGACATACTCAGTAATTATCTGACAAGACGACAAAAAGATCTGACAAGTCCACATAATTATCAGACAAGTGGGGGGGGGGGGGAGAAATATGCCACCATAAGTTGAATAGACTAAGTAATGATATTTTATTTATAGAGTCTAATAAACACATATATTTAAAAAAAAACAGATAGGCACATTTTAATAATTTAACAAATATGTACAAAAGCCGGTATCATAGAAAGATTCGGGCAATAATATATAGAAATTGATCTAAAGAATAAGAAATTCAGAGAACATTTTCATGGGAGGAGGTAAATGTATGTGGTATTACATTTGGTTCTCTATACCCTAGGCTCTATGTCCTCACCATGTCTGCAGTGCAATTGTAAGGTATGTTGTATTCTATTTATATTATTAAAAACAATGTTTCAGCTTGAATCATACGGATGTAAATCAATTGTTTGCCGGTATGACAGACGCTCATATTCGTGTGGCTACCTCTAGATTTAAAAGAAATATTGGATTGACTGTGGACGTCCCGGCTCTAGTAAGTCTTAATGAAAAAATCAGTTGTAGTGTATCTGATTTTATTTTTTTTTATTTATTTATTTATTTATTTTTATTTTTATTTATTTATTTTTTTTATTTATTTATTGCTTTGGAGCTACACGTTTTACACTTTTGGGCCTCACCCTCTTGTCAGTAAGATTGATCCCAGGAACCGTGAACTGCTGATTTTTATTCTCTGATTGCACCATACTGCTCTTCAGAACAAGTCTTGGAATTTTTGTATTTTAATGAAATGTAAAGATATTTACAAACAGGAATCGTTCCTAAAAGTCAATCTAAACAATACAAATTGTGAGCAGAGCCAACAATGACCTCCCAAAAAATATGTGGGATCAGGTACCATAGAGGAGTAAGAATTCTCTGTCGAGCGGTCACAGCCGTCGTGTAATTCTTGTCATGATCGTGTTAACTGAAGAAACCGTATATAATTTACCTAACAAATGGTGGATGAAAAACGTCTGTTCAATATTCAACTTATAGATATGAAAAGATTGTATTTGCTACCAAAGTCATTGTATTGACCATAGAATTTGTCAAATGTTGCCTTCAAACTGGACATCTCGTAAAATCAACTTATTTGTCAATAGCTTACCTCGTTTAGAATTTTTCCTACTTATAACCTGCTTTTCTGTATCCATCCCACTGGGAGACATAAACTCCATATATATTTTGTTTTACTTTGTTACACGTAGTTGATCAGACAGACATGCATATATTTCACTTGTTTGATGTAAATGATTTCTACATACAGGATAAATTTCATGAAATGATTGACATAGTCTAAATTGTTACACCTAATCCTGGTCTCTCGTAAATCAGGAATATCACCAGGTCAAAAGTTTTAAGCTGCAAGCTCCAGGTGTAAAGAGGCTATGGACTGCGCAAATTATGGTCTCATTTTCTTATGGATACGATCAATTTAAAAAGTTTGGAATATGCTATGTTGCGTCTAGAAATATTCAATTTTTGACGATATTTCGAAAAAAAGCCACATTTTTTTAAAAGCATATGCAATGTTCGACGATTTGTTTTGTTTTGTAATAAAGAATTTATATATTCACTTTTAACTTATTCCAGATGATTATCTATAATCTTTCCTATATTGGGTTGAAAACTGGTGCTTTCAAAATTTATTACCCAGTTTACACAACAAAGGTCATGCATGTCTAAATGATACTTCTACAACACTGTCTAGAGTATCCTCCCCCGCACAAGTTTGCGCCGTCATAGCCACCTGGGCAACTTGAACTTGTGTCTTGACAAAATCCCCTGATGTGCTTCTTCCAACAGAGATAGTCAGCACCTTAGGAAAATGAAAGTTGTCAACTCGATCATTAATACAAAGAACAAGTTTATATGCTTTAGCTTAAATCCTAAATGTTTCATAACACACTACAATTTACTCAAGTTTTTAACTGAGTCTAGTATATGGAAATCTGGCCTGTTTGCATAGATATACAGATATAGACAGGTTTTTAAAATTTAGCAAATGTGTACAAAAGCCGGTATCATAAAAATGAATGTCATTCTTTAAATAACTTAATAGTCGTTGTAGATACTCAATAATTACGTCAATATAAGATGACAGCATTATTGGACGTTGCTAACGATAAAGAAGTGATTAAATGACAGTTCCATAAAATTTAATTCATTGATCGTACACTGTATATGAAATTTTTTAACACAGTTTTGAAGATATTAGTTGTCGAAGTAGGAGAAAATTATCTCAAATAGTCAAAGTTTAAGACATGGAGTATTTAAAAAAGTTATACATCATTGTTTTTAAGCATTCTTACCACTGACGCAACATTGTCTGTTGTTAGGACCACCACACAAAGGGGAGCTGTTGTACCGACCACATACCTCACTGGTATACTGGCATCGTCCGTTCAATCGCCAGCAAGGGGAATCATCTCCTTTAAAAAAAATTTAAAAATGATAATAGATAATTTGTTATATTGCATTTCCTCAGGATCACTCATGCAAGATTACGTGAAATACAGTAAAATTTTTACTCGTAAGCATCCCACATTACCTTTGTGCTTCTGACCATATTGTTTTCCAAAAAAAATCGGCTGAAGAAATCGACTTCTGGTAGCATATATTATTTAGATTACCAAACCTCGTAGCATATCTGATTTAGATTACCAGACCACTCAAATCAAATGTCCCTTTCATATTCTTAGAGAAAATGCAAAGGTTTGTTTCCGTTTATGATTTAATCAAACCCATGTACAAATTACAAAGTCTACAATAAATTGAAAATATTATCAGAGCTACTTTACCTGCCACGATATTCTTGTTACAGTATATTGCAAACAATAGAAATGCAGTTATTGACAGGATATAAAGATTAAACATTTTGGGTTAAACCTTTGGGTCTATATCATTGCTTTTCATTACTTTCTATTTATATAGGTATATGATCCACTAAGTGTCATGCAAGCTTATTCAAAGTGATGATCTTGTGACCACTTATTTAACATATGTGATTCGATTTTTTTGAAGTGTTTCATAAATGCTTTAATCTGCCAATGTGTTTATCACGTAAGGGTTTTTTGGTTTTTGTAACTTTTTGTGAAAAGAAAACCCTGTACCTTTGTTAATAATAACAATACAATAGTAACCAAAAAAAAAAAAATACTAGTACATCATTTACATAAGAAAAAATAGGCAGTACAATTATAAAAAATGACTAACATTATTCATTGACAATTTTGAAAAAAAAAAAAAAAAAGAAAGAAATTAATTATTAGCTGAAGTTGAAAGGAAATGAAAGTTTTATGTGACGAAAATAAATTTACTTATTAATAAAAAAAATAAAATAGGTCCATTATAATTCTTTTACATCAAATACAAAACAAAGAAGATAAAAATTCTTTTACACATTATTTTTGGTATACTTCAGATGGATATGGATGTTTATAGTTGATGAAATTCTAATTTGAAGGGAAATTTCCTTAAGGAATTCTTTAGAATTTACAAATCTAGTAGATATTGAAAGTGGTTGATGATTTTTTAGGTATTTATAATGAATGTCCTTAATGTTAGATCTGAACCTCTCAAAATACGTCTTTTTGCCTTGCAAATTCGACATGTGATTTTATACGACTATTTAAAATATCAGATATGTCCATTTTTCTCCCTCGGAGTGTGTTATTCTGAAGTTTTTACTTTGAGAGTATGTTAAGGGACTAGGCACAGGTATTCCAAAGAGATATAAATTTTAATAATGAAGTTTCTTAGTAACAAGTAAGGCATTTTGAAACATACATCACTATAGGATACAAATGCAACTTTTAATTATACAAATAAGTGTTACATTTGGTCCGTTAAATGGTGTTTGTCCCACCAACCAGAGTTGTTTCATTAACAGGTTCTAGGGAGCTTATGATTAATGTTTGTCCAAGACTGCTGAAGATAAACATCGTCTGCTAATAAAACTCAACATGTATTCCAGCATAGATAATTGTGTGAGGGATTTGGGTGTTTTGTTTCAGTCTTGGTGTATCGACGTTTTTCAGTTGACTTGAATTCACTTAATGTTTATCTGCTTGAGTCATGATGTTTGGCATATACCTTAAATCGTTTGAAGAATTTTTCTAAGTTTCTAGAAGTTCGTCTTAATGTAGATTGTTTAGAAGAGTCTAATTTGACTGGGATTCTCATTTCAGTTAGTCACTGATTGGAGGACCCGGAGAATGCGCTAGTTGTTATTCGTGGATAATGTCTGGCCTGAAAGCTTTGAGGTATAACACCTAATTAGAAATAACTAGTTTGTTCTACTGATTTTTATATCAACGTTGCAATAGACTAAAGGATACGTTACATGTAATAGAAGAATGAATTCAGGCAGATTGAACATTACACATCCATTTTTCTCCTATTGTATCTTTATTCACACTTATAGAGATGTTAATGAATGATGAACAATACATATTTAAGATGTAACTTGTTTTCTTTCAGGCCCGAATTACCTCTAAATTTTATGTTGTACCACTACTGTCAGGGTACTCTAATATTTGAAATTTAATTCAGTGCATGACAATTCAGTTTCATCCATCAATAACAGAAAAAAAAAAATAAGTGGACCCTATATCCTATATACCGTACTAGCGACATTAATAAATACGTTTACTTTATACTGTTAAGAAATAACAACCACTAGCAAAACGACTAAAACTTCTAGAAATATAAGAATATGTTGAAAAGCTTATACAAATTATTTTTATTAATGGCGAAAAAACAAAAATAATTGTTTGACTTTCAGAATATGGCTTATTATCACGTACACCAGTATCAACATATTCTAAATTCCACGTTACAGCTGTTGATAACACAGTGCAATTGTTTAAAGCAAAATTCAATATCTACTTCATCAAATAGATAATAATGCAGAAATAACAAAAACTGTAAACTGATGAAGCTATGTCTCCAGCATCATTGCAAAGTAATGATTTGTACACACATATCCTTCTAAATAGTCCTTTTAGTTATTCTTTTGGTCAACAGTAATCTGATACAGTAGGTTGTAGGGAAATTTTTAACACTGCCTTCATCGCAAAATCAATTTGTTTTCTTTTTTATTTATGAAATGAAATTCATTAAGATTTCTCTAAGATAACGTTGTTCGGGGACTAAGATGAAAGATTTCTCGACCGGTCATGACAGCCTAGTGATTGGGAGGCCCAGGTTGAATTCTTGTTCGCCGCAACGCGTCAACGTCCAGGGCCATAAAAGTTAGATGAGCTCACTTTTGATCTCAGTCTCACTTTTATCATATGTTTATTAAAGGAATGTATAAGGGGAAAGTGAAATTTTATTGCCCCGGAGCCAGGGTTCTCCATCATTTCAAATTTAACGTTGCGCGAGACTTAAGCGAAGTGCTAAATTTCGCTGTCATTTCGCGATCGAATTGGCGAAGAAACCACTAAACAAAATCAAAAATACACAGCTCCTCTAAATCACTTGTTTAATACACAAATGGTATGATTTATTTGGAAATTTGAAAAACAATATCAATTTTATGATAATTAAATTACATTGAGTGATATTGAAACATGTACATGTTTAGTGTAAAACACAAGTTAGAATGTTTCCAATATTCCAAAAATTATAACGTTTGTGTGTACTGTGACCACCCCCCCCCCCCCCACACACACACACACAAAACTACATACGTAAATATAAATGAACAAATATAAGCTTATAGAATCTTAGAATAATTGTATCTGAAATATATGTCTCAGTCGACTTAAGTATCTTAAAACTTATGGATTATAAAAACATAATAGCAATTTAGAGTCATAAAACACAGTTTGGATAGATATTCTATCGTTAATTTTTGATATGATAAAGATACACTTACGATTTCATCCACAGTGTCAATACATGTACAGTTTTAGAGATGTGGCTACCCTTAGTAAACCTAATTATTTTCCTATTTTGAAAAGGAACATTTAGTGCCACTATTATATTTTGTCTTATATTACAAATATTTAGTTATTATTTTTATTATTGAATTATAAATTTATTTATTTAAGGATTTTTTTTTCAATCAAATTAAGCTTAATACAAAGAAAGTCTTTTTTCCGGTTTCAACTAAGCATAGAAAGACAAATTTCAGAAGCTTAGGTGAAAATTCAGTTGATTGTTACACAATCATAGCGTTTTTGTAAACAAGAAAATATGATAGCCAATACCTCATCAGAGTCATGCGAATGTCCATATCTTAAAATGCAGTTGAAATTTTTCAGAATATTTCATGCATGATTGTACAAAAAATCGTCGAGAAAACTGAGAATGTCGCAATTTTGCTAACAGCTAGCTCTCAGAACTCCCAAATTTCAAATACTTACCTGGATACTAGCACCAGATGCTAGCGCATTCGGGTGCTAGTTATGGGCGTTTAAAGTTTATATATTAAACTCTACTCTGAAAAACTAAAAACAATTAAGTAATCATGTATGCAATCATCCCTTTGTAATACGGACTTAACTTTATTTAATTCAGAGTCCATGTATGTAAAGTTGAATTAGAGTTTTGTTTAAAGCTTTAAATATAAATCAAAGAGGATAAATCTTTTTTAAAATTGTTTCAGTGTTTGCAGATACATGATTAGCATTTCTATCATTCTTTACCTTCATGTTAATATGGGAGGAGTTTTCTTTCTTTTTTCTCTATCCCGGACTAGGAAGGTCAATACAAGAAGTCATTTATAAATAAATAAAAGATATAAAACTATAATATGAATATGATAAGAAATAATAAAAATGTAAAAATTAACGGCAAAAGTAAAGGCGAATACTAATCTTTATATAGAAACAATTTTTCAGTAAAATAATATCTTGTTTACGTTCATTTGATGTTCAAATAGATTAATAAAGCGAGTAACAGGCTGTCTTACAAAAATGCAAGACACTGAAAGCCTTATCTTATTGATCAATGCATTCTTCTCAAACAATAATCCAATTTCATCCTTTCATATGTTTTATTTATATACGCGTCGCCGTTTTAATAATCTATAATTCATGGCAAAGTTGACTGAATTCTTTGAATGGAACTCTAGGAAAGCATTTTGATTTCAATTCTTTATTTTTCATCATGCACCAGCATATAAAAAGAAATCAAGAGAACAAAGCGTAAGAACATTTTTTATTTCAATTGGGTCAGTTTTTCAGTATACAACAACTCTGTATTGTTAAGTACATTACCCCTTTCATTCTTAGCAAAATATGGTTTCCATAAATTTGAATACACAACATTTCTGATCGAAATTACCCTTAATTGCAATTTGGAGATATAAAAATGTTACCACAAATGGAAAGTTATATATTAGTTAGAGAGTACATTAATTTTTGAACCTCTTTAAAGGTACATGTATGTGCACGGTGACGTATCTGTGCGAGTGAAAAAAAATCGATTTGGAAGTAAAATAATATACAATCAGTCAACCTATTTCAAAACGTTTTTTTAATTAAATAAGAGGATTTGATGATAGAAAACTTAAATCATCACATTTATTATGAATATAAGTATACTCTTTTCTTTTACAGAAAAAAGGTCTTGGTGATAGAGGAAGAAATATTCACATTCCGAGTAGATCTGTAGCATATTAATTTGAAACCAAATTAAATCATTGTTTATTAAATTTTATTTATTGATACATGTAATGGTTCCCTTATATTTTTATAAAAATTTAATCATGTGTTAAAACAAAATAACGGCTTATTTTTAGACTAAAATTTAATGACTTTGAAATATATCCTACAATTATTACTCCTTATACATGGATTACGTTTCTATTGACGTTGAATCTTGAGAAAATACACATGTGTATCATGAATCTGATGACAGTTAAT